AGTGTTCTATGCTCCCAGCCCTCAGGTGAGTTTTTCCTAATTAAGGGTCCTTTCATTAGCAATACCCTAATTCATACTTATACATTAATTTTTAATAGATTATCATTAAGTCCAAGTCCCTATTAACCCATAAAATTAAGTGAAAAGTACCATGTCTACAAAGAGGCTTATGTTTTCCTTTTGAGATACTATCATGGGGAGAATTATCACACAAAAAGTTTTGTTAATCATCCCCTAGTAGCCTTATTTCCCTGGTGCACTTTATTTTTAAATGAACAACGGTCGAAGCTAGTTTATTTAAGAAAATAAATATCACCTTGAATAATCCCTCTCCTAATCTGGACTTCATTTAGGAAGGTTGCATAATACCAACAGTGAAAGCAGAAAGACACACAATAAAAACAAAACTGTAGACCAACTTCACTGACGAACACAGGTGACAGAAATCTCACTAGAATACCTGCAGACTGGAGCTGGACAGAAAGGCCAGCAGTTAAGAACACGCCTACTCTTACCAGCACCATCTGAAACTCCAGTTCCAAGGGAACTGATGCCCTCTCCTGAGTTTCATAAGCACTACACACATGTGATGCATATATACAGACATAGGCAAAACACTCGTAAACATACAATAAAATAAATAAATCTAACTTTAAAAAACACTTGTGTGGTAGTTCCAATGTAATTGGCCCCCATAAGCTCAGGGAGTGGCACTATTAGGAGGTGTGGCTTTGCTGGAGTAGCTATGGCCTTGCTGGAGGAAGTGTGTCACTGTGGGGATGGGCTTTGAGGTCTCATATATGCTCAAGACATGCTCAGTGTCTCAATTCACCTCCTTTTGCCTGAGGGATCAAAATGTAGGACTCTCAGCTCTTTCTCCAGAACCATGTCTGCCTGTGTGCTGCCATGTCCAGTCATGATGATAATGAATTAAACCTCTGAAACTGTCCCCGTTAAATGTTTTCCTTTATAAGAGTTGCTATGGTCATGGTGTTTCTTCACAGCAACAGAAACCCTAAGATAAATTGCAAACTGAATCTAAGAACACATAAAAAAGATCATCCATCATGATTAAGTTGGCTTCATCCCAGAGATGCAAGGGTGGCTCAGCATATGTATACCAACACATGTAACCCCCACAACATCTCTGTTCCTACTTACAGGCATTTTACAGAATGTCATCATTTCACAACTGGTGTTTTAACCAATCTAATCACTTTTGCTACTTCACTGATATTTTTACATGTAAGAGTCTATAAAATTAACCACTTATCTCTTCCTAGTTTGTACAACTTTTCAAAATAATATACAGCTGGTTCACTATCTCATAAGGGATAGAGTCAGGAAGAATGCATACTAAATGTACATGAAATTCTTTCTCAAATATGAGGCAGACAATGACAGCAGCAATCCAAAGAGCCTCGAGGTTGGTATGTAGGAAGAAATCATTTTACTACTTCTCCAGATAACTCAGATTCAAAAGACTTGAGTTTGGAGAATGTTTCTCTCTACCGATAGTAAGAAAAACTAGAAATAGCTATTATTCTATAGGACTTTCAATACCACCTACTTTCAAATCATTTATAATATGTATAATAAGACCATATAGAGAGAAACATCACAAAGAAAGATGTATGGGGGGGCTTAAGAGATTTATATTAAAATTTACAATCCATTTTGCTTTCTACTTTATAATTTTCACAGACAATTTATTAGATAACTTGATTAGACATTTACAAGTATATTTTGATGTCTCTGATTCCAAACTGGTTATGAGAAGATAGAATACTTAGCACTAAACCTATTAGGTTAATGAAATAAGGCATAAGTCAAGATGAAAAACAAAAACCTGTGTCTACTCACTCACTCAACGAGTAAACTCACTCACTCAACGAGTATTTACAGTGTGTAGAGGAAGGAAATGTTCCCCTATATCCCATTAAAATTCAACGACTGAGGCTATAAAATCAACTGACAACAGGCAGGTAGGTTGAGAGGTCAAGTATACACAGAACGAAGAGTGAATACCCTACCCATGGGACCTAGAAGCTTCTATCCATTCTTCTTAGGGGAGAGAAAATGATTTGGGGGCAAGTTCAATAGACTTAAAGAACAGTGCTAGCTTGTGACTGTGTGTGAGGTCCCTCTCTAGTCCTCTTCTATGACCTGACATAAAATTATGAAGGAGTTACATGGACATGATGACTATGGACTCCTCGTGGGGGTGCCTGTCTTAAGGCACCTTCCCACAAAGCTCTTGCTGGCGGGTGCTGCCTGCCAAGTGCCCCTAGTTGAAGCCACCCGAGGATCAACACATTTGGTGGTGGTATACTCTGACTTCCTGCTAGTGACCCAGGTAATACGAACAAAGCTTGTTTTCAAGGTGCTTGTAAGAAATCAGGAAGGATAAACAAATGAAATGTCTTACAAAGCCCAAAGATGCCACCTTCAGAGTCGAATAAAGATTATAGGAGGCCACAGGGTAATCTCTGAAGAGGGAAGCCTGTCAGTTTTCGGACTTAGGATTTCTGTCAGCATTAATTATTTTTTTAATTAGAGAAAGAAATAAAATTGGTCTACATTTAGATATGTGTTTTGTCACAGCAACAGAATAAAACCAGAACAGAGTTTTAATAAAAGTAGTATATGGGAATTTTGAGTTATTTGATTAAAATAATTTGCTTATTTTGTAGTAGGAGTAGGGGGTCCTGTTGCTGTATTTATTGATAGCTAAATGTAGAGCTTGGAAAAAATTAAGGCATACCTTTTTTTTTTATTATTATTAAGAAAGTTTCTATTCACTTTACATATCAACCACAGATTCCCCCCCTCTTTCCTCTCCCCACCCTCTAGTCTTCCCCCCAAACCCACCCCACATCCCCACATTTCCCAAGTCAAGGTCTCCCATGGGGAGTCAGCAGAGCCTGGCACACTCAGCTGAGGCAGGTCCAAGCCCCTCCCCCTGCACCAAGGTTGTGCAAGGTGTCACACCATAGGCACTGGGCTCCAAAAAGCCTGCTCATGTACTAGGGTCGGATCCTGATCCCCCTGCCTGGGGCCCCCCCCAAACAGTTCAAGTTAAACAACTGTCTCCCGTGTCCAGAGGAAGGCATACCTTCTTTAAGGATTTGTAGTGTATTTTAAACTCTTGTCTGATGTCTAGTCTATTACTTGGTAACAGAGTTTTAAAGTCTTGTCTGATGTATCAGTCTACTTGTAATGATGTATTTCATTACCATCTATTATTAATCTAGCTCTCCTAATGTCACTAAGATGAAATGTGGTCATTTATAGTTCCCCAATTTCAAAGTGCCTCTATAATGTTAATATGCTGTCCTGGAAAAAAAAAGAAAGAAAGAAAATCAAACCAATTCCCATGTGTATTTCGGAAATGCATCAGCAGCCTTGACCCTCATGTTTGCGAGGCCCAGTCTGTGGAGATGGAAACAGCCCCTTCTCCACTTCAGTGAGTCCTAGTTATATCATTGACTGGTTTTCAAATTCCATAATTTTGTTTTTAGTGTCACTGCAGGCTGAATCATTCTTTTCATAAATGGCAGGGACTGTGATCCTCTGTGGTGCTTTTTATTTAATAGAACTCAACTGTCATTCTAAGTGAAAAAAATTTTGATGGACTATGAGAAATTCCTGTTAATGAAGGCTATGTTCTGGCCATGAACACAGGGTGTCCAGTACTTGCTAGCTCCATTTAAAAATTGAATTATTTTGTAAAGTTAATTGTGAATTTCTAAGTATCCTTTAAGCATTATTGAATTCATTTACTCATTCTGCAGGATAATGGCCAACAGAGGAGGCGGGCAGCTCTGAGTCAGTCTCCCTGACAATCATGACAAAGTAGAATGGAGCCAGCGAAGAACATTCAGATATTTGAGTTTAAGTGAAGCCCCAATTTAAGGTTTCATTTTCATGGTAGTGTTTACTGAGACTTGGAGTATATTTTTTTAATAATAACATTTATATCTTTCTCTTCCTAAAGTTATAGTCATCAGAGTCCTGAATACAGATACTGAACATACTGAACAGTGAAGAACTAGGTGTAAGATATGGAAGTGGCCAGAGATGAAGACATACGTATCCATATACTTCCCTGCTGTGGGATGTCCTGTAGGCTGTAAATATATGTTGCTATGATTGATTGATAAATAAAACGCTAATTGGCCAGTAGCCACGCAGGAAGTATAGGCGGGACTAGCAGAGAGAATTGGGGGAACAGGAAGGCTGAGGCAGAGAGGTGCTGCCAGCCACGGCCATAAAAAGTGAGATATGAGGTACCAGTAAGCCATGAGCCACGTGGCAACTTAAAGACTAATAGATATGGGTTAATTTGAGATACAGAAACTAGATAACAAGAAGCCTGAGCCATTAGGCCAAACAGTTTAAATAATATAAGTGTCTGTGTGTTTATTTTGTAAGTGGGCTTGGCAGGAGCGGGAGAGAAACTCTTCAGCTACACTTCCCAAAGCACGGTGGAACACAGACACACATTCAAAGGAGGTAAAAGAAGAACGTAGGAAACAAAAGGAACTAAGTTGGTTAGGAATGTGTGGGAGGGACAGTTAAGTGGCTTCATGCATACATATTTAAAATATTTTCAGATGTAATATCTTGATAACACAGTTTCTGAACTTTTCAAGAAATGTACTCCTTTATTTACACTTAAAAATTTAAGATTAAAATTTGCCAAAATCATATTTTAATGAAGTTCCTTGAAATTACTATAAAAAATACTTTGACTTCCCAAGTCTTTTTGGTTCTGCAGCAGATAAAATTGGCTCTGAGTTCAACAATTTCTATTATCTTGAGTAGTATTCTAGTAGTATCTGGGGTGGGGACTTACAGACAAGAGTCATACCCAAGGGTAAGTTGCTAACAACAAATTAGATTAACCTCTAGTTAGCTCAGCATCATTTTACCTATACCTTAATGGAATGGAGGCAAAACTTACCAATAACCCATAAAATAAAATGGCGTGGACCCACCTTTGATTGCACCCACGATGTTCTGGTCTAGTCCTTTTCGGTTGTCATTGAGTCCTCTTTTCCTCTTCCCATTGGGTAAGGAGTTAGCCAAAGTTTTGTCATCAAAAAATGCACACACCAGTTTTCTAAACAGAAGGCTTCCTGAGCGAGTGTAGTTTGACAATATAGAGTCCAGCTGAGACTTAGGCATAAACACATCGAAGCCTTCAGCAAGTTGCACTTCTGGCTACCAAAAGAACAGAAATGTTTCATTAAAAGCAAGATTGTGAAACATGTTACTTTGGGCATAAGTGCAGCAAAAATACCAGTGGCCACTGAAATGTCCGAATCTGGTAAATTACACAGTCTCGGTTATATGTGCTAGAATTTACAATTTATAAAATCAATGACCACTTATAATGTGCAAAATGGGATGCTGTAATTCCAATAGAAGTCTTATCCAAGTACACTGAAAACACGCTTCTATTCATACAAACCTTTCAGAGAAGGCTGGATAATTACACAGTAATACAGTTCTATAGCTAAGGAGACGTGAATCACCTATACCCCAAACCCTCATTGTGTAAATGAAGAAACCAAGGAGAGTGTTCCAAAAATGACTTCAAAATAATTCAAATGCCAAACAATTTCTTTCACTTAAGGTTACAAATACAGGACTACGCCCACAGGTCCCCCGCTCCTTCTATTAGCTATAAATTTCATTTTACCACAATGTATCACTTTACAGAAAGTGATAATGCAAAATAAAAACGGCAGCTGGTCCCAGTTTCAATCTACGCCCCACACTAACTTGTGGGAGCAATGTCCCAACACACCCTGGAACACCACTGCAGGGCTTCCTTGCTTGTCAGGAACTTCCTAAAGTCCTTTAGAGAACATTCTGGATATCTGCAACCTGCCTTTTCACCTTGCACTTCTGCTCAGGGCACTTCCTTCCCAGAGCTTTTAACTCCTTCCTGCCCAGAGACGTAGCCATGCACTGTTATTGTTTGTTCTTTAACATAAGCACATTGGTATTTATTATGTTATGCTTTGTATCTCTGGTGTCTACATAGTAGGCACTTAGTAAACTTAAAATTTCATTAGCCATAATCTAAAAAAAAATTTAAAAATTAAAAATAAAATTTTAATATTTATATTAATAATAACGCTTATGTTGTTTCAATGTTTATATTATTTATGTTATTTCAATATGAAAACTGCATTTGGTAGATTTAATCAGAATGAAAGGAATGCCCTACTTACACAAGCTGTATATATAATCACAGCTCACCCCTTGATGTTATATTGGCAACTCTGTAAAGCAGTCCCCTTGGATGAGAGGGTTTGGGATCAGTTTCTCTCCTGGCCAATGGAAGTTACTCTTTTTGCTGCTGTCCTACTTTGCTCAAATGCTCAGCACACGTAAAGTCAAGAATGTTCAGAAGATGGCCCACGTCATTCCGATAGCGAAAGAAGGTGCTCGGGCCTTGCCCCTTGAAAAAGGAACTTTGGACTGGATTAGCCAGAAAGTGATCTCATTCTTCTGCTCCACTCTGCCATTTAATGTTTGGCTTCTGAACTCCTGGCAAACATCACTGAGAGCAGAGCTGTCAGACTGTCCCTGGCTTCCGCATCTTGCTGCTTGCTGGTCAAAGGTACAGAAAGAGCCTGACAGGAGCCAAAGGCTGACCACCTAATTCCTGCGACGGAACGGGCCCACACCGAGCATCGGGAAACACTTGTCAAGTGATCCAACGTGGAATCGTAAGAATGGAGAGAATTCTATCATAAGGCTGACATGGGGATTTATTCAAAATTGAAATTTTATTTTGCATATCCTATGAACTTTAATTCTAAATAAGTTTGTCTCGGAGTTTTAAAAGGAATTCCAGGATCATGTAGACTCCATGAGACTCCCACGAGTGTAGCCTGCAGTTATCTGACCACCGTGGGTGGTGCAGGAGCTCTTAAGTTGCAAGAAAGGAGAGGGAAAGGCCTGCGACTTATTTAATGCACCTCTGGGCTGGATTCTGATGACACTCACCTGGTGCTTAAAACTCAGTCACCTGACTTCTGAGATTTCCAGAATTCCCCCTGGAGGACTTGGACCCTAGCTCAGAAACACCGACCTGAATAAACGCCAGGCAGCCCAGCCGCTCCCTTCTTAATGCTTGCGGAGTACTTCCTACGGAATGTGTTTACGGCACTTTTTCACTGCACTGATTTAGTTGGATGTACAGCTCTTAAGTTCACTGGGCCAAGAATCTAGTTGGCACCTAACAGATGTGTACCAGAATAAACAAAATGCTCCATAGGAACTCAGCACAACGACTAGGTCAGAGTTTCCTTTCCCTCTATGGAGGGAGTGGTCTGCAAGTCTCACGCTGTGACAAGGCACACACCAGGGTCTTAGAACGCTCACGTGCCGGCTCCAAAAGGAGGAGACTTGGAGAAACTGACCACCTGACTCAGTACCTACTTACTAAGTACCTTCTGTGGGGAGGGATTCAAGGCTGGCTCTGCAGCAGAGACTCACACAAACCAGCACACACACTGTACGGTAAGGAGAACACCAGCCCAGAGGTTCTGAGCAAGGGCTCTAAGTGCTACCATCAGGCAGGCTTGGCTCCTGGACCTGGGGGCAGAGGGGATACCAGAGGCCGAGGAAGGAGTGGGACAGTACCCTAATAAGGTCTTGAAGATAAGCTTTAGGAGACCGCAGTCTAGTTAGTGTTTGCGGCACCTTCTATGACGCCTAAACTAGACATCTGGAGGTTTCTGTGGAGCCAAGCCTTCTCATGACACTGTAATCCTATGGTGTGTGACTGCAGAGGCCATCACGGGCCAAAGCTGTCACTGCTTTCTGTTCTGTCTCCCGCTGCCAGGCTAACACTGTTGTTTTGAGCTATCTTTCCAGTTCCGGGAACATGAACTCACCCACTTGCAAGTACCTTAAGGAGGAGTAAGTAGTCTGATTAGCCTGATGAGGGCAAAGGTGGCTGAGCCAGCTCCTCCCTGCCCGACCCTGCCTCCTATTCAGACTTGTTAGTAGGTAACAACAGACACTAACTCGTGTTTAAAGGTGCCACAAATCACCACTTCCTTTAAAGAAAAAAGAAGAGGGGGAGGGCTGGCTTTATGCTGTGAAACATGATACTAATGATCTTGTTTTCACTATGAAAACTTGCTGTAGACAATTGCTAACCGGTCTTATTAATAAAACCTGGAGCCAGATATTGGGGTAAAAAGCTGAGCAATCAGAAAAGCAGAAAGAAGCCAGCCACGTTCTTACCACTTGGAGACCCTCCACCAAAGAGACCCACTTCCTGTATACCTACGCCTATGTGTCTTTCTGTTCTGCAATCTCACTTCCTCTGTCCACCCAGCTATATCACTTCCTCTTCCTGCCCAGCTCTGTAACTTCCTGTCTGTCTGTACAGACCTCCAGACCTTTATGGTTAGTGCTGGGATTAAAGGTATGTACCACCATGCCTGGCTCTGTTCCCACTGTGGCCTTGAACTCACAGAGATGCAGACAGATCTCTGCCTTCCGAGTGATAGGATTAAAGGCGTCTGCTACCATTGCCTGACTTCTATGTTTACTATAGTGGATGGCGCTGTCCTCTGATCCTCAGATAAACTTTATTGGGGTACATAGATAAAATATCATCACATTTCCCCTTTTTTGTCTAAATAAAAGTTATAACTAATGTAAGAGAAACTATGTAAGTACAATAACTATATATAATATATACAAGCAATAAATACATCAACAATGTCTAGTCCATTTGCATTGACTAGACAAATTCAGTGAAAATATTCCATTATCTATCCTATTTTTGTGAATCCAAAGGATTGTTCTAATTTACCTTCTATCCTAATTTGTATTACCAAAACTATTTTTGATGTCTTTCAAACTTATACACTTTACACCTCTTAGTGAGTTTCTTTTCTGAATTTCTTAACAAAGAAAACTATAACTATGTAATCTTCAAGTCCCCCAGAGACCCAAGAAGGAAATAATATTACCTAGTAAAACAGGAAGTGCAAACAAGTGACTTCCAAAAAAATGTGAGTTATGACAGAAACAGCCAGCTGCCTAGACAATCACCAGGCAATGGTAGCACACACCTTTAATCCTATCACTGGAAGGCAGAGATCTGTCTGCATCTCTGTGAGTTCAAGGCCACACTAGGAACAGAGCCAGGCGTGGTGGTACATACCTTTAATCCCAGCACTAACCATAAAGGTCTGGAGGTCTGTACAGACAGACAGGAAGTTACAGAGCTGGGCAGGAAGAGGAAGTGATGTAGCTGGGTGGAAAGAGGAAATGAGATTGCAGAACAGAAAGACACATAGGCGTAGGTATACAGGAAGTGGGTCTCTTTGGTGAAGGATCTCCAAGTGGTAAGAATGTGGCTGGCTTCTTTCTCTGATCTTCAGGTGAACTTTATTGGGGTACACAGATAAAATATCACCATACCTTGCTTGCCTTTTGTACTACTTTATAAGCATAGTCATAGTACATTATTACCATATAAGAAACCACAACTCTGCACATATATTTGAAAACAGGTTAAAACGTTCTCTAGTTGTAGAATCATTATCTTTTTTGTTTATTGGCTTCAGTTTAAATGAATCTTTTTACTGAAAATAGTTACAAAAACAAACACTTCTAAATAAGCATCATTAAAAAAACCCTCTAGACTTTCCTTGATAGATGTATTATTTGATGCTCAAGCCAAGACAGAGAGCTAATATACTAATTTACAGAGTCTAATGTTATGGAAATAAGATGATGATTAAATGATGACATCCAAATTAGGGGCACAATTTACAATGTTTACAGTAATTATTTTTAGGGTTCACTACAAATTCCCACTATGCAGTGTCTTACTTTAGGTACCTCAGCCACTGAGTTCACTATATCAGTACTGGAAATTCCTTATCCAGTGCAATTTCATCTTACACTGGTGATGTTCTGGAAGCCAAAACTGCTCCATCCTAATGGTTCTTGAAAATGTCCCTGGACCAAGGACAGCTACATTGACTGTATTGTTTCTTTGCATTTCTGGTGCAGTATTCCTTCAGCTTAGATGTAGTTGGGGTTAAGATCCAATTTAGGGATAGATTTTCCAACCAGGTAACTGGAAAGCCACTTCCCCAACCCTGACACCCACAAGTCCCTATGAGCATATCAGAAGATACTTAAAGAGATCATATAAATGAATCACTCAGAGAACA